AAGTTAGCACATAAGTTCAGTTCTAGGAATGTATCCTGTAGACCTATTCCAGCATATGCTGGATGATGTATGCTCAGGATATCCATGGATGCATTGTTTATGATAGAGAAGAAACACCCTAAATATCTCTCCATAGGGGACTGGTTTAATAAATCATGGTCCTGCCATACGAAGAATGAGGCAGCTCTTTTATAGACTCATATAAAAAGATCTCCAGAATTTTCAAGTCAAAAAAGCAAGGTACAGAACGGTGTGTCTAGTATGCTTCCATTTGCATAAAGAAAAAGAATCTATAGAATCTTTAAAAATGCATGGATTATCTGTGAAAGCATACTCAGGATACAGCGGGACAAGAAATGGGTGGCTGGAAAGAGGGGAAGGAGGGAAATTTATTTTTACCATACATATATCTTTTTATGACTTAAAATTTGCAGTATGTACATGCATTTTCTGTTCACAAAAATGAAGTTTTTTAAAAAAGGAACTACTTAGCATAGTGCCTGGCAGCGGTGGTGGTGGCAGTGACAGCTCTAAGCAGATGAATCATTGCAGAAATGCAGCCCAGAGGCGTCCAGGGTGTGGCCACGGCCTCTCCTCCCTTCATTTTCTATAGTCCATGTTGCCCCATTAGAGAATCCTTGCACTTTAGAGATGGAAAGGGCCTTAAGATTCTCTGGTATAACGATTTTATTTTAAAGATGAAGAAACCAAGCCCCAAGAGAGGCCATAACCAACCCAACTTCTCCCAGAGGACTAAGGCTCAACCTGAGGCCTCTTTTGTAAGATCTTAAGACTAAGCTTTCAAAAATTTTGCCTTTAGAACCTCATCACCACTCTGCTTGGAAACCGTAAGGACTCCTCCACATGGCTGTTAAGCCTAGTTGAGGTTTAGTTCCTAACCAAACTTTCTAGCCTTATTTTCCACCTTCTCCTGTGTTAATTCTCTACCCTAGTCAGATAGGTCTCTTCATTTACCCCCAAATGCTGCTGCTTTCCAGACACCACAACTTGCCAGTTCTGTGCTCTGTCTGAAATACCTCTCTCCTTCCTATTTGTGGAGATTCTACCTACACCTACACACTGCAGCAGAATCACACCTAAATTGCACTTCCTCTAGGAAGTCTTCCCTGATTACTCAAGCTTATGGAGCTCTCTTTTCCCTCTGAACGAATTTTAAAATTTCTTGTAAAACATCTGCTTCCTAAGAGGGGAATAGGATGGTTCTCTGCTCCTTGAACAATGGGAAGTGGACTAAGATAGAGCCAGCTCCTTATCCTGACTCCATTTCTGGAGAAAAGTGGGTAAATGAACTTGGCCCTCCTTATTGTCTCAGGGAAGCCCTGGGTGAGGATGCCACTGAGCCAGCCCGGAGCCAGGACCCTGTCTGCAGAAACTGCTGGGCCTGTTCCTACCCTGATGTTTACTTGGCCAGGAGGCCCAGCGTGATGAAACCCGGCCCTGTTGCCGAGCACCTTGGGAGGCCTCCCTCCAGGGTCCCTCTGTGCTCAGACAGTGGCCCTTTGTGGAGCAGAGGAGCAGGACTGAAAGTGGAGCCGCTGGAAACCCTTCCTCCTCACGCCACCCCCCCGCCACCCGCCCCCGGCAGTCATGGACCATCCTGCGCCTGGGTGGCCTCTGTGCAAGTCCACTGCTGGGGAAGTGAGGTAGGTCCTCCAGGCAGCCAGCTAGGCTGGGAGGGCAAGGAGGGGTCCCGCCAGGATGGCCTGCTGAAACACAGGCTGCTTCTAATGGAGCTCTCCAAAGAGGAGACTGGTCCCCCTGCAGGCCAGAGCGACACTTTCACCATTCCCACCACTGCCAAATATGCCCCTAGGATTTAGGGCTGGCCCTCCCTTCTGACGTGGGTTGTCCCTTCTGCCCCTGTTTCACTGGACCCTGCGCTCACTCAGGGGTGGGGTCTGGGGGGTGGGGGATGGGAGGGCAGATTGGGAATGCTTAGATGTCCTCCCAAACCTGGTGGGTAGGAATCAAGGGGAGGGACTAGTGACCATAGGAAGGAAGGTCACGTGTGGTGTAGGTGAAAGTGCAATCACTGGTCGGAGGTCAGGAGGCCTAGTACTCTAGTTCCTGCTCAGCCACTGACTTGCTGGGTGACCATAGCCAGTTACTTTCCTTTCCTGTGCCCCTGTGTCACTTTCCCAGCTGCAAACTTATGGAGGCAAACTTATGGAGAGTAGATGAATGTCAAAGACTTTTGCAGTTCTGATGTTTCAAAATTCTGTGATCACAGGCAGGAAAAGGAAGAGCTAGGCGTGGGTTGGAGGTAGGTAACTGACACAGTACTCTCCGTGGATTCACCAGCAGTCGCTAAGCAGCCTCTTCTCTGCCTCCAGGATTCCTTCCCCGTCTTGTTTCCACCCCACTTTGAGGGCTTCTTGTGATGAGATCTAGAAGCTGTTTGATTTGGATTTGTTTTATCCCATATTTTGCCCTCAGAGGGAGGGGACTGTGCACAGAGCAGGAAGGGGGTCAGGAAATAAAAGAGAGAAGAAAAGAGGTAAGGGTGGTGGGATTTCCTTGGTGGCGCAGTGGTTAAGAATCCGCCTGCCAGTGCAGGGGACACGGGTTCAAGCCCTGGTCCGCGCAGATCCCACATGCCGCGGAGCAATTAAGCCCATGAGCCACAACTACTGAGCCTGCGCTCTAGAGCCCATGAACTGCAACTACTGACGCCTGTGTGCCTAGAGCCCGTGCTCCGCAACAAAAGCCACCACAATGAGAAGCCCACTCACCTCAAAGAAGAATAGCCCCTGTTCACCGCAACTAGAGAAAGCCTGCGTGCAGCAAGGAACACCCAACACAGCCAAAAATAAAATTAAAAAATACAAAATAATAAATAAATAAAATTAAAAAATAAAAGAATGACATAGCCATAGGACATGACAAAAACTAGTTAGAACCAAGTAGGTCCAAGATGGTGGAAGATTCAACTTCCAGTAAACCTTGAGCCTCATTATATGCTCATTGTAATATATTAGCATACTAAATGACACACCACTAGCACCAGGACAGTTCTGAGGTTAACCATAAAAGGTCAAAACATGGGCGGTGTCCCAATTCCTGGAAATCTCCACCCCTTCCCTGAAATAGTTGGAATAATCCTCCCACTCATTAGCCTATGAAATTACCCAGCCCATAAAAACTAACCACCTGTATTTCAGGGCCTCTTGTCTTCTGAGATGGCCCATACTCTGTCTGTGGAGTGTGTTTCTCTCTAAATAAATTCACTTCTTGGACTTCCCTGGTGGCGCAGTGGTTAAGAATCCACCTGCCAATGCAGGGGACACGGATTTGATTACTGGTCCAGGAATATCCCACATGCCTCGGAGCAACTAAGCCCGTGTGCCACAACTACTGAGCCTGCGCTCTAGAACCCGTGCTCCGCAACAAGAGAAGCCACCATAATAAGTCCGCGCACCACAACGACACAACTAGAGAAAGCCCGTGCACAGCAACGGATACCCAAATCGGCCAAAAAAAAAAAAAAAAAAATCCGCTTCTTACCTATCACTTTGTGTCTCACTGAATTCTTTCTGCGATGAGACATAAAGAACCTGAGCTTCATTAAGTCCAGAGACCAAGTGTGTGATCTCAATTAAGAGATGGTAGGTTGGGCTTCCCTGATGGTGCAGTGGTTGAGAATCCATATGCCAATGCAGGGGACACGGGTTTGAGCCCTGGTCCAAGAAGATCCCACATACTGTGGAGCAACTAAGCCCGCGAGCCACAACTACTGAGCCCACATGCTGCAACTACTGAAGCCCACGTGCCTACAGCCTGTGCTCCACAACAAGGGAAGCCACCACAATGAGAAGCCTGAGCACCACAGTGAAGAATAGCTCCCGCTCATTGCAATTAGAGAAAGCCTGTGCGCAGCGACGAAGACCCAGCACAGCCACAAATAAATAAAATAAATAAATTTATATATATAAAAAAAAGACGGTGGGTTCTGGCTGGGTTCGAGTCCTGGCCTATGGGTTCAAGTCCCATCCGAGTCGCATGGTTTCATAACCATATGAGTCAATTCCTTATAATAAATCTATCTCTCTATCTATTGATATAGACATAGATATATAGAATATATATGCTACTGGTTCTATTTCTATGGATAACCCAGAGTAATACAATTTGTGATTTTTATGTCTTGTTTAAGAAATTCCTCTGTACCCTGAAGTCCTAAATATGATTTTCTTTAGTTACTTCTAAAGATTTTAAGGTTTTGCTTTTCAAATTTAGGTCTTTAATCCAACAGGTTATTACTATGTATGCTATGAGGTAGGAATCCAATTTAATTGTTTTCCAAATGAATAACCAATTGTTCAGTATCACTTAAAAATAATCCATCTGTATTAAATTCCTAGGGCTGTCATAACAAATTACCACAAATTGGGTGGCTTAAAACAACAGAAATTTATTCTCTCACAGCTCAAGAGGCCAGAAGTCCAAAATGGAGGTGTAGACAGAGTTGGTTCCTCATGGGGGGAGGGAGAAAATATCCATGCCTTTCTCCTAGCTTCAGGTGTTTGCCAGCAATCCTTGGTGTTCCTTTGCTTGTAGACACATCACAGTAGTCTCTGCCTCCATCTTCACATTGCCTTCTTTTTGTTTCTATGTGTTTTCTTATATGGATAGCAGTCATTGGATTTAGGGCACACTCTAAATCCAGGATGAGTTAATCTTGAGATCCTTGACTAATTACATCTGTAAAGATCCTATTTCCAATAAGGTCATATTCTTTTTTTTTTTGGCTGTATTGGGTCTTCGTTGCTGCACACGGGCTTTCTCTAGTTTCAGTGAGCAGGGGCTATGCTTCGTTGAGGTGAGCAGGCTTCTCACTGTGGTGGCTTCTCTTGTTGTGGAGCACGGGCTCTAGAGTGCAGGCTTCAGTAGTTGTGGAGCTCGGGCTTAGCTGCTCCGAGGCATGTGGGATCTTCCCGGACCAGGAATCGAACCCGTGTCCCCTGCACTGGCAGGCGGATTCTTAACCAGTGTGCCACCAGGGAAGTCCTAAGGTCATATTCTGAGGTTCTAGGTAGAAATGAATTTTGGGGGGATACTATTCAACCTGTGACACCATCCTTTGCGAGGCTTTTGCAAATGTCATTTCTGTTGTATATCAAATGTCCATATATGTATGGGCAGAGTGATCATTTTATAATGCAATTTCTGATGAAATGGTTATACATTTTTCACAAGATCACCTTATTTAATCCTCACAACAGTTTTATGAGGTAAGTACTACTAAAATCACTAGGTTATGCTAAGTTATGATGTGATAACAAACAACCCCCAAATCTCAGTGGCTTCCAACAAAGTTTTCTCCCTCAGATTACACAGATAGCTGTGGGGCAGCTGTGTGTTGGCTACAGCTCTGCTTTCTGCGTCTTTTCACTCTAAGGTCCAGGCTGAAGGCACAGCCCCCATCCAGGTCATGCCATTCCAGTGGCAGAGATTAAAGGTTTGATTTTAGACTAAAAACATGCAATGGTTCTTCAAGTTTCTGCCTAGAACTGGCATATATCTCTCCAGCTCAAATTCCACTGGCCAAAGTAAGTCATGTGATCAAGTCTGACATTGGTCTGGGGAAGTGTACTCCTTCCTCTGGAGTCACATGGCAACTGCCTAGAATGTGTAAGCTTACTGGGAAGGGGGAGAGCAAATAATAGGAGACAATGATATCTCTCCCAGAGGGGTTAAGTAACTTGCCCAAGGTCAAATAGCTGAGAAGGGACAGAGCCAGGATTCAAACTCAGGCAGTCTTTCTCAAATCCATAGTGCACTCCATACCTCCCTATTGCCTGCTAGATGGTGTGCAGATACATCTAAGCTTTAGCGCTTCTGCCTGTGCGTTCCTGCAGCCTGGAGTGCCCCTCTACCTCTGCATGTTCAACTTACCCTTTAAGACTCCACTGTGATCTCAACTCCTTTGTGAACTTCTCTCCTTGGAATTCGTCACCACGTACCCCCATCGCTTTTTATAAGTATATATTATTTTGTACTCACTGTCCTATCCCCTCTGAAGGGTGGGAATGCATTCTGATTTCTCACGTCTCCTCTGCCTCCGGGGTTTGCAGTATTTGGGGATGAGATGTGGGGGGGGGGGGCCTGAGCTGCAACTGGGCCGTGCTCCTGGGGACGAGAACACTTGGCCTACTTTTCCACCCTTCTAACCTAAGCTTAGCACCTGATGCTCCGGTGACTGGCAGGTCAGCTCTGCGTGACTCACTCTAAGCCTTCAGCACTGTCACCTCAAGGCCCTGGGCTGGGGGGTGTGTGGGCTGGTGGTGGTGAGTGAGGAGATGGGAGTTAACTTTCGCCTTTCAGAAATTCCTCCCTCCCCATGCCCCAGAAAAAGGACAAGTAAAAGTCCTTCTCTTAAATGGTCTGGGCAAGTACCTACCGATCAGGCCTAGGAAGACTGGGGAGGCCCTGGAAGCTGCAGGGAAGGAGGAAAGCACTGCTGGGTCATAGGAGAGGAACAGAGATCAGGAAAGAGTGTGAACTGCACATTGAAAGCCTTTACTAACTTGTCCAAGTGACTTAATTTAACCTTTCCGAGCTTCCGTTTTCCCAGCTGTACCCTAGAGACCGTACTCATCTTGCCCTCTTCCCTAAGCTGTTGTAAAAATACATAGTAAAATGTTAGAAGCCTCTAGGAATGCAGCCTTGACATCACACAGACCTGTATTGGAATCCCCTTCATAAACTATGCAACTGTGGGAAAATTGCGAATCTCCATGAGCCACGGGTGTCCTCATCTATAAAATGGGGATAATAATTAGAGCTACCTCCCAGGGTGAGAAAGCTATGTAAGTGCTTAGCACACAGTGCAATAATATTGGCTGTTTTCATATGCGTAGATGATACTTATTATTTAAGGGAAGGACCACAACCGGTGTCATTTGGGAACATTAAAAGGAGGGGAACAGAGTCTAACTTTTCCTAGAACTGATTGCTTCCCTTAGCCAAGTATGAGGTGTGGCTCAAAGGAATGAGGAAGCAGTTCATGTGGTGACAGCACACAGCACGCTGTCTTCACAGATCTTCGGGGAGGAATAGAGAGGTTAGCTGACGCTCCCCAAAGATCAGAGGTCCTTGTCCCCTGAGCCCACCCCCTACACATGCAGTCCATTGACTCCTTCTTGTCCATTCCTACCAATCTAGTCACCAAGTTCTGGGGAGGCAGCCTTTGTAATAACAATGATAGTATGAGCCTAGTGATATTGTTCCTTTGAAGTGTATAAAGGCTGTCTACTACATTTTCCCAGTTAGCCTTCATAATCTCTTTCCCATAAACAGAATCCAGAGTTAGCAGGGACTTGGAGATTATTCTGCATTTCACAGATGGGGAAACTGAAGTCCAGAGAAGGGGAGGGATTTACCCCATACTCCACAATAAGTTAATGGCAGAGGCAGAACTAAAACCTGTAGCTCCTGACTTCCAGCCCAGGGCCAGTGCTTCTGTCACCACACACCTGTCCTTGGCCTTCCATTCCCACTGCCACCTAATGGACCACTGCAGTGGTTCCTAACTGGTCCTCCCTGCCTCTGGTCCCTTCATATCAATCTGTTCTATATATACAGCCAGGTAACTGTCTGGAAGCATGGCCTTGATCTTGTCTTTCCCCTTCTAATAGAACTTGCTCATTTTTCGGTTTGAAGGGTCATCTGATTCCTAGTTCAGCCTCCAGTTGAAGACCCAATCTTTCTTTGAATACATTTATTGGCAGGGAGTTCATCACTCCCAGGGTGGTCCATTGTTTTCTTGGATCGTGTTGACTGTTAGAGATCTTTATAATAAGCTGAAGTTCTCCTCCTGGATGTCCACACACCTGAGCTGAGTGGAATTCTTTCACATCCATTTGTCAGCAAATCTGTGTTTAATATGAGCCAGGTCCTGGGTGGATTAAGTGCTGAGGGGAACAGAAAGAGGAATTAGACATGGAGAGGGGGGCTTAGGGGTTCACAGAGTTTTTAATTTTGTTTACTAGACCTAAATGATAAGAAACAAATCAAATCCCCTTTCTGTATGACAGCCCTTCAGACGTTTGGAGACAGCCACTATATCCTCCAGTGCTTTACCTTCTCAAGGATAGTTAACTCATTCACCACACAACATGGCATCCAGGTCCTCAGCATCTGGTCTCTTCTAGACTTGCTCCAGTGTGACAGTGTAGTCCTCAGAACGTGGGGCTGAGCTGAGCCCCGTGGTCCAGGTGTGATCAGCCCAGGGCAGCATAGAACCTCTAACAGAGGCTAACAGAGTTAGAACCACAGAGGCTCTGCTCCGCGGCATGTGGGATCTTCCCAGACCAGGGATTGAACCCGTGCCCCCTGCATTCGCAGGTGGATTCTTAACCACTGCGCCATCAGGGGAGTCCCTCCTCTTCTTCCTTTTTTCTTTCCTCCTTCCCTCCCTTCCTTCTTTCTTTTTTTGCAGCCACATTGCATTGTTGAGCTTGAGGTCAATTCAAACCTGTAAGTCATTTTCACCAGAACTGCTCTTAATCTGGATTCTTTCTACCCTGTATTTTGGGCACTTGTCCAATATGGCAGCCACTAGCCCCATGTGACAATTTACATTTAAAGTACTTAAAAAGAAAAAAAAGTTAAAATTTTAAAATTAATTGAAATTAAAATTTTAGTTTCTCAGTTGTAGGAGCTACATTTTAGGGGCTCAACAGCCACAGGTGGCTAGTGGCTACTACATCAGACAATGCCAATTTAGGACATTTCCATCATCCCAGAAAGTTTTGTGGGACTGCTGTGGTTTGGACTGAAGGGCAGGAGTTTACATTTATCCCTTGTGGTACCTCATCTTGTTAGTTCCAGCTCAGCTCCAAGGCTGCCGAGACCTTTTGGAAACTAATTTTGGTTTCTGGAGTGTTTGAGGGCCCTCCCAACTTCCTGATGGCTGTAGATATGATTAGCGTTTCATGCCTTATTCTGCTTCATCTAAAACCACTGATAAAAATGCCCAGCACAGCAGACAGAGCTGCAACCAAGCCCTGCACACGGCCCTCTGCACTCCAGCCTCAGTCATGCAATAGTTTAACAGATGAGCCTATATTCCAGGCCCTGTGTACTGGGTACTGGGTACACATAGCGAGACAGAAGACGGCAAGTAAAGAGTCATGCTGCGGTGGGTGCCCTAAGAATTCAAATGCCTTTGCCTCGCATTCAGGCCTGCTTCTCTCTGGCCTGTGGTAGTTAAGTGCAGGCTTGGGAATCAGCTTCCTGGGTTTGGATCCTGGCTCTGCCACTTTATAAACTATGTAATATCTTTGTGTTTCAGTTTCCTAAAAAATAACCTCCATCCCACAGTGTTGTTATAGGATTAAATGAGTTAGTGCAAGTAAAGCTCTTAGAACAGTGCCTGAAATACAGTAAGTGCTCCAAACACATTAGCTATGATTAGTTCTCATGATTAATTATAATTTTCCCCTGGACAAGCCATACTCAGTCCTGCTTTGGGGTCTCAGTGCCCTCACTTCTGCCCTCTTTTAGTTTGCGGAAGTCTTTCCAGGCCCAAACTAGGCCTGCCCTCCTTGATTTCTTATGTTCTTAGCTGCTCACCTGGCACTTAGTATCCTATACTGGAGGGGGGAATCGCAGTGAAGAACTTGAATAATTGTTGGGCTTCATCTTGGTTCTGCGCTGCCTGCTGGAGAGACCTAGGACACGCTTTCATCTATAAAATGGGGATGATCACAGCTGCTGCATAGGACCACGGTCAGGGCTAAGTGAGACAAAGTAGGTGAGAGTTCCTGCACTTAGTAGGCCTTTTCATCCAGTAAAACCTCTGAAAGTGCTTCTTCCACGTCTCTGTGTTTTATGTAGTATCTAACAAAGGAGGTCAGGCTCATTATTCCCTGCAGCTCTGGAGGGCCTGTCCCTGTCCCAGGAGCCCTGGGCAGGAATTCCCCGTTTCTTCTTCTATGTAATGTGGATACCTAATCTGTTCCCCACCTTCTCCTCGCTGCTATCTCAGGCTTGCTGACCTTGGGGTGGTTCCTACCCACCCCCCCCCAGCCTCAGTTTTTACTAGGACCTGAAGGAGCACCTATAAGGGCAGTGGTGATTTTAACTCTAATTTAGGAAAGCTCTTTACTTTGGGCGTGCCTGCGATTGTGGAGGGTGGGCGTCGGCGCCCAGAGCCAGGGTCCAGCCCTTGGGGGTCCCCTCCCCAAGGGTCCAGAGGTATCGCCACCTGAGGTGGGGTTGGAATGCGCGGCGCGGTCTTCCTCGAGCTCGGGCCGCGGGAACAATGGGAGGGCGGCGGGGAGGCGGGTGGGCGTCGGCCAGGTCAGGGCTGGAGGTGGAGGAGGCCGGCGAGCTGGGCGCCGGGCCGTGGGGTTAGCCCGGGCCACCGGGCCGAGAGCCGAGGCGTCTGGGCCAGGGAAAACCGAGGTTGGCGCTGGCTGGGACCAGGAGGGGGCGGGGGGCGGGGCCCGAGCCCACCGGGCTGGGATGGGAAGGGCGAGGGGGCCCAGGGTGGGGTCTCCTCTTCGTCGCCCCGCCGCTCGCCCCAGCCTCCGAGCTCCGCGGCGACACAGGTAGGCGCCGGCCCACGTTGGGGAGCGGGCGGCGGGTCACCAGCGCCAGGCGGGCTCGCAGGGCTCAGCCCCCTCCTTTCCTCCTCTCCCCAGGGGCCCGCGCGGCTCCTCCCTACGCGCGGCCCCGGCTCAGGCGGCGCTCCTCCGGGTTGCTCGCTCGCTCGCCCGTGGCTGCCGCGGCGGCCGGGATCGCCGCCGCTTCCTCTTGGGGAGCCGGCCGGGGCGGGGCGGAGGGGGGAGACCGGGTGAGGGAGGCGGGCGGGGAGGGGGCTGCGCCGCGGGAGGGAGGGAGCTAGCGAGCAAGCGAGCGAGCGGGGCATTTGTGCGCAGCTCAAGTGCGCCTCGGAGCCCGCCGAGCGGCCGCGGGACAGACCGACCGAGGACAGACAGCGCCCGGAAGCCGCGCCGCCGCAGCCAGGTTAGCCGCCTCCTCCAGGCCCCGGGGACCCCGCCGCGTCTGGGCTGGTGTGTGTGGGGAGGGTGATCACCGAGGGCTCCAGGCTCGGTTTCCCGTCCTCGAGCACTGACAGGCCGGCGGGCAGGCTCCGGGGGGCTGGACAGCACCGAAGCGGGGGGCGGGCGCCTGAGCCGGGAGGCGGGGAGCGGGCGCCCGAGCCGGGAGGCGGGGGGCGGGCGCCCGAGCCGGGAGCCCCGGGCCTCGGTTTGTGCGTTTCAGTGCTGGCGCGGTATGTGTGTCGGGGTCCACGTCGCCGGGTGTGTGCTGGGTGTGAGCGCGCGTGTGCCCGTGGGTCTGTGCAAGTGGATGATCGGTGTGTGCGCGCGTGCGGGTGTGCAGCGGGTGTGCATCTGTGTGTGTGTGAGAGGGTGTGTGCCCTGTGTGTCTCCGCGCGTCTGGGCTGGGCGGTGTGTGTGCGCGCGTCTATGCGTGAATGTGTTTATGAGAGGGTGTGTCTGAATGTGTAGCCGAGTGTGTGTACATTTGGATGAGGGTGTGTGCCAGTGGCTTCGCTTGTGGCTGGAACCTGTGGCGGAGTGTGTGTGTGTGCGCGCGCGCCACTGTGAGTCCCCGTGTGTGCGCGTGTGAAGGCGGGTGTGCACCCGCGTAGCCCCGCGTAGCCCCCGTGTGCGTGTGCGCGGCTTTGTCTCCGCACAGCCTGGAGGAAGGGGTGGGGGCGGCGGCCGAAGCGCTGCCGTCGCCGGGAACCGGGCACCTGGCCGGGGCAGAGGGCGGCGGCAGCGGCGGGAGCGTCCCCGCTGGGCCTAGACTCCTTGCCGGCAGGTGGGCGGCCACACCCCGGGGGCCAGAGGGAGCCGGGCTGACAGAGGGGCCCGCTGGAGCGGAGGGCGTGTCCTGCCTGGAGCCCGGGTGTGTGTGTTGGTGATGGTGGAGACAGCGGTCCCCAGGCTGGTGACCCAGTCGGTTCAGGGATCCATTTCCTGTCGTGGTGCGGGGATAGTCGGCCAGAGCCAGACTGGGCCTGGCCAGCTCAGCCGCACTCCCATCCTCACCCCTCCCAGCTCCCTAGGGTAGAGCCGCACCTTAGGTGCCCTGAAGGGAGGAGGGAGAACCACTCTCTTAAAGGGCCAGTGCCCCCCCTCCAAGGAACGCCCCCTCAGATGTCTACTTTGAGAGAGGTCTCTGGGTGTGTCTTACTCCGTTCTTCATGTATCGGTGCAGCGCATGCATTTGGAGATGTGTGCATGTGTGTGTTTCTTGTGCATTTGGGGGTGCAGATGTATTTTATCAGTGAACAGTGAATAATGCATCTCTTGAAGTCTATGTGTATGTGTTTCTTAATGAGTTTTAGTATATTTGTTTTTATGTACACATAACTGTTTGTATGTTAGTGAGTCTGTGCATGTGGGTTTGCAAGATAAGTGGCATTTTGCTGCCAACTGGAATAGGATAGAAAAATTTTGTCCAGGGCCACCCTATTTTAGAAAAACTGGGTGAAAAGGTGGTTTGGAAATTTAGCCCCCGGCTTTGTGGGTTTCAGATGCTGGTACTGAAATGTAGGTAGACTGGGATTAGACTGGATATGAGGATAGAAACCGAGACTCTTACAAGAGGAAGGAAGTGTTCTGGAAGAAGGCTATCCAAGTGTAAGAATTCACCCTCCACTTCCAGTTCTTCTTCCCTAGAACTTCACCTCCCCCTCTGCTACTCAGCTTGCCAGGATAAAGTGCACAGGATTTGGAGTGTAAAGGGAGGGAGCTGGGAGTGTGAAAGGAAGGAGGGTGGATGGGTGATAGGATTGGGGGCCAACAGCAGATTTTTGCAATTTTAAAAATGTTTCCCTACTGAAGGCAGCAGAAGCTGGGGGAAAGCTGAGCTTGCTGTCCCCTTTCCTGAATCCCTTTCCCAGGGTAGGAAAGGCTCTGGTCTGCAGCTCAGGAGCCCTGGAATTTGGTGCAGGGGTTTCCTTTGGACTTTGGTCAAACCTTTCATGTTTTTAGCTGTTCACTCAACACATTTTTATTGAGCTTCTCTTATATAAGGGTCTAAACCCCCTAAGCCTCAGTTTCCCTAGCTGAGCAGCTAGTAGGCTGGATTCTGAGACTTTGAGTCCCCTTCCCTTTCTCAGAGTGCTAGAGTTTGTCTCATTGTTACCCACATTTAGGAATCTACCCTTTTAGCTCCCAAGGATCCTGGCCATGGGCCCCACTCACCACTCCTCCTTGCCCTCGTATATTCTAGTCTAGAGCAGTGGTTCTCAAAGTATGGTCACCCCACCAGCAGCAGCAGGGTTACCTAGGATCTAGTTAGAAATACAAATTCTTGGGGCTCCCGCCAGATCTACTGAATCAATAACTCTGGGGGTGGGGCCCAGCAGTCTATGTTTTAACAAACACAGGAAATCCTGATGCACATTAGAGCTCAAGAGAGGAGCAGGCAGGGAGCTGGAACCTCCTATAGGATGAAACACCTGGAAAGCATCTCCTGCCCCCTTCCACACACACACCTGAAGTAGCTGACAGCCCTAACCTGGCAAGTAGAGGTTCTGGCTTCAAGTCCCAGGTCTTCCTTGTGATCTTGGACAAATCACGCCCTCACAAAATAATTCAATGACTTGTTGACAGCATCTGCCCTGGGCTAGGTTCTGAGCAAGGGGTTTCCCTGCTCTGCTTCGTTTCTCCATTTCTTATGTTGATTTACAAGGCCTGCCCACCTCTCTAGAAACCAGTCACTCTGGCCTTCTTTTAGTTCATCTAGGCAGCAGGAGCTCTTTTGCCTCTGGGATTTTGCACATGCTGTTCCCTCCGTCTACCACACCCTTCCCCTGCTTCTTTTTTTTTTTTTTTTTTTCAGTACGCAGGCCTCTCACTGTTGTGGCCTCTCCAGTTGCGGAGCACAGGCTCCGGACGCGCAGGCTCAGCGGCCATGGCTCACGGGCCCAGCCGCTCCGCAGCACATGGGATCTTCCCAGATCGGGGCACGAACCCGTGTCCCCTGCATCGGCAGGCGGACTCTCAACTACTGCGCCACCAGGGAAGCCCCCCCTGCTTCTTATGTTGGTTAACTCCCACTCTTCAGATTTCAGCTGAAGAATCACTTTCTCAGGGGAGCCTTCACCAACAACTCCTTTAAGATAACTCAGTTTTTCCTGTTATACCTTCTTATAGCTCCCTGTATTTCATAACACTTATGAGAGTAAGTAATTATACATGAACTTGTTAGTTGTTTGTCTCTCCTCACTGGATTGAAAATGCCATCTGGGCACAAACTTGCTTATCAGTCTTCCTAGTGCCACCACACCATGTCTGGCTTATGACTGGTGTTCAATAAATTTGTTGAATGGATGACTTTATAATATGGGAGATGGTATTAAATGATACCCTTTGTCCTCTCGAGGCCTGACATTGTAATATCTAAGCAGCTTCATACTTTTCTTTTTTGGCTGCGTCAGATTTTAGTTGCAGCACGCGGGCTTCTCTCTAGTGTGGCGTGTGGGCTCCAGAGCGCATGGGCTCTGTAGTTGCAGCACACAGGCTCTCTAGTTGTGGCGTGTGCTCGGTAGATGTGGTGCGCGGGCTTAGTTGCCCCGGGCATGTGGGATCTTAGTTCCCCAACCAGGGATCGAACCTGCGTCTCCTGAATTGGAAGGTGGATTTTTAACCACTGGACCACGAGGGACGTCCCCAGGCTTCAGACTTTGTTGAAGTAGATTCATCTGGTTTTTTTTACTGCTAAGTCGCCTGGCTATAGATTTGAGCCCCTGTTGTGTGGCCAGGCCTATGCTGGGCTCTGCTCTAGGGGAGACGGGAAAAAGCCCTCTAGGAGATACAGCCTACCTTGTTTTCTGTGTCCTCCTGGATTAAGATCCTGCAAGAATGAGAAGAGGAAGAACATTGAATAAGGAATCTAAAGATCTAGGTCCACGTCTTGTTACCTGACTGTGGGCAAGTCACTCTTCCTTTCTTGCTTGTTTCCTCTTCTGTAAAATGAGGGTATTAGGATGGATGGTGTACCTAACATTGGTTACTAGCACTGGCGCTAGAGTATGGAGCACTGTCTTCGCTACCTACTAGTTGCGTGGACTTGGGCAAGTGACTTCATGTCTTCATTTTCTCACCTGTAAAACAGGATCAGTAATAGCATCCGTTTCAAAGGGTTGTTTTGAGAGTGAAATGAAGTAACATACGTGGAATGCTCGGCACAGTGCTGAGCACATAGTAAATATTTGGTAAATGGTAGCAATTGCTACTGTTATGGCTACTCCACAGTTCAACATTCTTGAATGCCTTTATACTGGGCCCTAGGCCTACAGTGACAGAAATGAATACAACAGTGTTCCCAGGCTGAGCGCGCAGGGCAGACCTGTAAAGATGAACAATGTACAAGGTGGCAAGGTATGGCTGTTCTTGGAGGAAAATGCGGTTGGGCTGGATTTTATTTTCCAGGTAGTTGGAGCAGCATGTGCAAAGGCACCACGACTTGTTAGGGGAAATACAAATAGTTCCATGTGGTTGGAGCAGAAGGCGGTGAGGGGTGGGGACAGGTGGGGTGAGTGGCTGGAGATAAAGAGGAATTTGAGGCCAGATCTGGCACAGGCTGAAAAGCCTGGGTCCTACAGGCTGTGAAGAGTTAGGGAAGAAGATTAAGCTAGCCAGGAAGGATCGGATTTGCATTTCAAAACCACAGCTCTCCAGGTGGTGGTAGAGGCTGGCCTGGGTGGAGGGGGAGGATGGTCCATCTGGAGTCGGGGCTCAAAGGGTGCTTATGTGCATGATGGAAGGGCCCAGTGGGATGGCTAGACACCTGGGACATGGAAGAAGCCCAGTTGATGGACTTCAGGCCAGCCTGAACCAAGGAAGTGAAGGAGAGATGAGAAGGACTCCTCCATGGGCCCCAGGACTCCATTAACCTCCAAGGCTGCCTAATGAGTGGGAATCTGAAAAATGGAATTTAAGAGTCTCAGGTCTGCTGCTCAATGGACTCACTGTGTATTAATTTCCTAGGGCTGCTTATTGAAATACCACAATCTGGGTGTCTTTAAAAAGCAGAAATTTATTCTCTCGCAGTGTGGAGCTAGAAGTCAGAAAGCAGGGTGTTGGCAATGTTGGTTCCCTCTGAAAGCTCTGAGGTGGGTGGCAGGGGCATCTGTTCTGTGCCCCTCTCCTAGCTTCTGGTGGCGGCCAGTAATCCTTGGAGCTCCTTAGCTTGCAGCTGCATCTGCCTCTGTTGTCACGTGGCTTTCTTCCCTTTCTCTGGTGTGTCTCTGTGTCATCTCTTCTTCTAAGGACACCAGTCATCTTGGGTTTAGGACCCACCCGTATCCAGCATGACCTCATTTTATTTTAACTCATTGCTTCCGCAAAGACTCTATTTCCAAATAAGGTCACATTCTGAGCGTCTGTGTAGACGTGAATTTGGGGGGACACTATTCAACTAAGTACATACAGGAAGATGGAAAAGACTGCAGGTCTTGGAGTCCCACAAGCCCAGGTCCCAATCCAGGCTTTGCAATGGAGCAGCCATGAGGCTTTTTCTCAGCCTCAGTGTCCTCTTCTCTGAAACGGGGACAGTAGCACCTGCAGTGCCGGGTTGTGGTGGTGACACTTGGTCAAGATAACAGATATGAGTGAGCCTAGTGAGGTGACGCACAGCAGGCACCCCGTAATTACTGCTTCTGCTTTGACTCCCCCTTCTCTACACTTAGTAGCCTGGACAAGCCACTTAAATCTTTTTTTTTTTTAATTAGTTTATTTATTTTTGGCTGTGTTGGGTCTTCGTTGCTATGTGCAGGCTTTCTCTAGTTGTGGCGAGTGGGGGCTACTCTTTGTTGCGGTGTGCAGGCTTCTCATTGTGGTGGCTTCTCTTGTTGCGGAGCATGGGCTCTAGGCGTGCGGGCTTCAGTAGTTGCAGCACATGGGCTCAGTAGTTGTGGCTCACGGGCTCTAGAGCGCAGGCTCAGTAGTTGTGGTGCACGGGCTTAGTTGCTCCGCGGCATGTGGGATCTTCCCGGACCAGGGCTCGAACCTGTGTCCCCTGCATTGGCAGGCAGATTCTTAACCACTGCGCCACCAGGGAAGTCACAAGCCACTTAAATCTTGCTTCACTTTCCTTATCTGCCAAATATGAATAATCATCGTCCAGCTCTACTTAAGTCACCAGATTGTGAATCCCAGGGGATAATGACAAAGCTCTTTGTAAACTGCTTTAGAGTTTGTGGCTGTGTTTTTAAATTATAATCGTCATCTTCATAATAACCCTTGGCCATTGCCACATCCACGGCACTCTCAGCAGAGCCCAGCTCGGCACACTCCTCTTCTGCGGCAAGTACTCTTTGCCCCTTTGTGCTCCAAGGTATCCTACCAGCAGGATAGCTGCTGTCGGAGTTGGGAGAACCTTAGAGAAACTCCTCGTCCTCCGTTGCCCTCATTAGCCAGAGGAAGGAAACATGCTCTGAGGGAAGTGACACCCCTCAGGTCACACAGCTGGTCAGTGGCAATCGGAACACCTCATTTGTGGTTCCTGTTTAGAGTCTGAACGGTGCTGTTTCCCTAGTCGCAACTTCAGCCTCCGAAGCAGGACCTTGGGGCAGGTAGAGGCCTGGAGAGGGCTCCGCATGGGACCCGGAGGTGGGGACCCAGTGGGGGGAGTCCTGCTGAGTCAGGATCAGAATCCACAAGGGGGTCCCTGAGTCCTAAGTGAGCGAGTAGTGCCTCTGCAGGCTGAATGGGCAAGTGGTTTTGTTCTCAGCCCGGCTCTGGCCGTCTCTGCCTGCTCCAGGGGAGGAGGCCGTCATGGGCAGGCAGCAGCCGCGTGGGGAGCCAGAACCTGGAGGTAACCCAAGGCTTCAGTGTCCCTGCTGACAGCCAGGGCGGTGCTTCTCAGCAGACTGTGTCCCTTTAAGCCTTGCCTTGGCGGGCCTGGGGAGGCTCCGGGAAGGAGAGAAGGCTTATCCTGTGTTGGCAGCTTCCCTGAGGTCACCTTCCTTTCCCCCAAGCTGGGGAAGCCAGGCCGCCCCCCCCTCGATTTTCCTTTCCCTTCCTCCCTCCTCTTCTCCGTCTTCTTTCTCTCCCTTCCCCTACCTCCCCCTCCTCTCTCTCCCCATCATCTCTCTGGGTTAAAGCTCTAAAGATAAAGCCTCCAGACCCAGTTCCGGTGGGTGGTTTGGGGGTTGCTTGAGGCCACCTAAGAATTAGAAAGCCTAGAGTCTTCCTCGTCAGAGGCTCGCTCTGGTGACTGATAAACAAGTGCTTACGTTTATTGGCTCACCATGTGCCAGGCCCTGTGCTCAGTGGTTTATGCGCCTTACGTCTTTTAATCCTTGCAACTACCCAGTGAGGCAGAGATTACGGTCCCCACTTTATTAAAGGAGGCTAAATAACTTGCCCAAGGCCTACCCAGTCCTCAGCCAGCAAGTGGCACAGTTGGATTTAAAGCCAGATCTAGCCAAAGCCCACAGGTGGTCTGGAGTCTTTCCTATACTGCCCCGGATGGAGGCTGTGACAACGTTTAGGGGTCCACAGAGGGATGCACACTTGCTCAAATTTGGAGAACAGATTCTTGGCTCAGAGAGTGGGGTCTCCTGCTTCCTAAACCTATGCTGTCACCCCATCAGGGACTGGCCTTCCTACCAGGAAGGACAAGGCTCTGAGCCCCTCTGGTTCTAGGCAGCTGCCCACCTGTTGGAGAGATGCTGCGTCAAGAGCAGGTAACAGGGCAGGACTGCAGGCGCTTGGCTTTTTCTTTAGATGTTGTTTTGTCACTGGCCACCTCAGTTCTTCATTGATTATCTTGAGTCTCCCAATTAAATGAGCTTATCATCTGCAAAGCATGATAGTTTTATCTCCTCAGAAGGGTGCTTGGGGGCTTGGAGGTCCTCTGTCAGGCTCGGTGATGGAGGGGAGGGAGGCAGAGGCTGCAGCCAGGAAACGGAGATTCAGGAGCAGAGTTGTGTAGAAAGGAAAAGGAAGGGAGCCGGACCTGGCTGAGGGCTGGAGTGAGAGTCTGGAGAGAGGAAAAGAGCCTTTAGGCTGGGGTTGATAGGAACCCTCCTCCCGCCCCAAGTGCAGCCCAGGAGTCCGGACTCTCTCCCAGGCAGGGCTGCTGATCTCAGAACGTCAATTCAGAACCTAGCCAGCTGCAGTCAGCTTGCTGGGCCTCCTCTCACCCTCACCACGACCATGACCATGACCAGGGCCAGCTTGAGCAGGTGGCTCAACCAGAAGGGACCTTGATTAATGAGCAGTGGCTTTAAAACTTCTAGCCACAGAGCCCTCTCTATGTTCAATCTGTGAACCAGCTAAAAGGAGAGCGGCTGAGCACCACGTGGTGGGGGCCCTGGAATCAGCCTGTTTTAATAGGTTCCAGTCGAGGTGACTGGGACACAGAGGGTTCTCAGACTGCCCTCGGGGAACGCTGGTCTCAGATGTTTGTGAACTTCCAAAACGGCATGCACAATTCTCAGAGTGTTCCCTGTCCTTGGGAAAGGATCCACAGGCACCACGTGAGTCTCTGAGTCACGACCCAGAAAAGTTCAGAACTGCCGACTTCAGGGCTGTTTTGTTGAGTGGGAGCCTAATGACTGGAGAAGGTCGCTGGGGGGTCATGGCAGAGTGAAGCATTGAAGGCAGATTTCTCCTACCTCTCAGCACATGGCTGGTTCTGCTGCGAAGGGACTGCGAACCGGTCTCTTCCCCTATCTGGGCCTCAGTTTTCCCAGCTGTAAAAATGAGGGTTGGACAGGATAAGCCCAAGGTCCCACGCAGCTTTGATCTGTAGTTCTGGAAGCCAGGTCTCCTGCTGCCCAATTCACAGTCTTTGCCCCTTTCCTTGTTTCCTCCCCAGCATCACCCACTTCTGGTGGGGCCACTTCCTCCCTTTAGCATCTCCCATCTTGAGAGAGTCTGTACAGAGCCTGGATTCTAGCCCCTTGAGCCCCTTCTGGCAGACCATGCGCCGAGGCACTCAGCACTCTCTCCCTTTCCACGCCCGCTTACCAGAATGAATCAGCTGCCTGGGAGTCTGGGGACGCTCATGGTGGCCTCTCTTCATGGCCAGACACCTGGGACCAGTGCCAAGGGGAGGGGCTTGGAGAATGCATTTGCTGTGGCTCCTGGGACACACCCAGTGCTTACCTGTGTCTTTGCCTCAACTTCCTGGGTTCATCTCTGCCAGGAATGCCACACCCCGTCCTTCCCCAGTCACTGTTGAAATCCTGCCTGCCTTGTCAAGGCTCAGCTCAGATGCCAACCTCTGTCCCCCAAAGCCTTGTGAGCCCTCCCGTCCCCAACCCCACAGGGAGATTTGTCTTGCTGTCCTCTGCATTCCCTTAGCACCTTATCGGGTCTCCTCTGGGGACAAGTTCTGCTTGCTCTTGACTTTATCCTGGGACGTGGCTTGTCTCTCTTGCTAGATTGTGAGTTCCAGATGTCTCATGTAATATTCTGTGCTCCCAGCACCTAGCATAGGGCTTTGTACAGAGTAGGTACCTAATAGAAGGTTGTGAAGTTTTATTTATGGAATCTGCCTCTGGCCCTGGGCTGGGCTGGTTTCTATGGGACCCCCATAGCCCCATCACTGGCAGGTCACAGCTTCTCACATATCCCCTCCTTTATGTGTGGATTGGAGGGAGGCCAAGTAGGGCGGTGGATAAGAACTTAAATTCCAGTCTTATGACTGCCATCTCCTGGCTATGTGACCTTGGGCAAATCATTTCACCTCTCTGAGCCTCAATTTCCTCAGTTGAAGACAAAGGGGTAGGAATGACAAGTCTATGGGGGGCTTGGGAGGATGAACTGAAATGATACCTGTAAAATGCTGAGATCTGAGCATTGTAAAGAATGAATGGTCAATAAGCAATTATAATTCATTATTTTTCAGGTAATGGTTATTATCGTTGTTTTAGCAGGCACCTACTGTGTTCTCACGGTGCTGGGGGGCAAGGGTGAGGGACAGAGACAAATAATTGCAGGAGTTCCTTGGTCTGCAGGGTCTTAAGGTCACATAGGGCTGGTAAGCCTCTTCTCTGGGGAGCAGTGTCTGGGAGAGACATGGCTGAGTGACTTGAGGAGTGAGTGATCAGTGTAGACTCCGTGCTGGAGGTTTGAGCTGGATGGGCAAGAAGTGGGAGGGGGCCATGGGGAGCAGGGAGACAGGTATTCCCTGTGGAGATAAAGGAGGCGAGCGCCAGGCCGGGCATGGGAAAGTGGGGCGCATTCTTGGAGCGATGCGGGCAGGATGCAGGAAAGGGCAGAGTGGAAGCCGAGGCAGCTCTAGAACCTCCACTTAGAAGGGCCTTAGGGTCAGCACCCCAGATGGAGGGGGAGCTTCAAGCCTTGTTTCACCAAGAAGAAATTGGGGGAATGGTAGCTCATGATGCCGCTACTGAGAACGACAGAGAGAAGACTGGAAAGGTGGGGCAGAAATAAAAAGCTGGGGATTTATGGTGGAGGTAGGAGAGCCCAGTGAGCCCTCAGGGCCTTTGTCCCTCTGCCCAGGCTTGAGCTGAGAATGCTCAGGGGTGAGCTGTAGCTCCGGGCGTCTGCGGGCCTGTTCTCGGAGTCTTTCTCGTAATATCAAGGCTGCCTGTTTCCCTGGCCAGGATCTGAACTCTGGTCTGTCTGAAGTTAAAACGCAAACTGATCCCAGAAATGTCAGAATCTCTAAATATCTGGAGAAGCGATCTCTTAATCCACGCCCCCTCACCACCACATTACACAGATGGGAAGCAGAGGTCCAGAAGCGGGAGGCCCCGCCCAAGGACGCAGAGTGAACGGGCCACAGTGAGTTTTGCTCCAGCCTGGTGTGGGCTTTTGTCGTTTGTAGGCCTGGGTTAGGGGAAGAGGGTGAGGAGGGGGCCCGAGGAGGGGGCCCAAGGAGGGGTGTAAATGACAAACAAATGCCAAATTAGGAGCCGTCGGTTGCCAGGGTGTGTGTGTGATCCCAGGTGAGTAGGATGTGAGTGGGCTGGAGCCGTCATCATCCCGGGCTTTCCTTCCCGGAAAGGAAAAAGGGCCATATAGGTGGGATCCAGGGGAATATTGGGATGTGGGGGAGTTCAGGGGGTGGCCTGAGAAGAGGAGGCTGTTGCCAAGCAGCGAGAGACAAGACTATATTACAGCGGCACAGAGCATCCCAGCCTCTTGGGCCTGGCCTTGTACAGCCCTGTAGGTGATACCGTAGTGTTATCTGTCACCCCTTGTTTATGGGGAAGAATGAGGGCTGCAAAGGTCACAGCTAGGAAGAGCAGCGCCAGGGCTGGGGGACTTCAAAGCCATTTCCTGGCATGTCCTGGGTGGCTGCCCTCCTGGTTCTCAGCCCAGCTTGGTCTCAGCAAGGACCCAGGACAAGTGAACTTTTGCCTTCCTTCATTTCTCCTCCATCACTCCACCCCCTTATTTGTTAATTAGAAATATTTATTGAGCACCTACTATGTGCCAGGAGCTGTCTGTGACCTTATAGAACTTATGCTGTCACCCCTTAGCTGCCCCACACTGGTAGGTTGGGACCAGAAGGAGGAAGTGGGTTGCTTCACTAAACACCCCTTTCTCCCTTCACACCAAGCCCTTCCCCTCTATCCCCGTCCAAGTCCATCTACCCCAGATGGGACTTTTTTTTAAAATTTTTTATTTTTTTGCTGTACGCGGGCCTCTCACTGTTGTGGCCTCTCCCGTTGCGGAGCACGGGCTCCGGAGCGCAGGCTCAGCGGCCATGGCTCACGGGCCCAGCTGCTCCGCGGCATGTGGGATCTTCCCGGACCAGGGCACGAACCCGTGTCCCCTGCATCGGCAGGCGGACTCTCAACCACTGAGCCACCAGGGAAGCCCCAGATGGTACTTTTTGCTGGAACTGCCTCCTGCTGAAATGGAAACCAATCAGAGTTAATTGTTAAACCTAATAACTGGCGAGAGTTTCACCTGGTTAGGCTGCAGGGAGAGGGCTGACTGCTAGCTGTGCCCCCCAGGAGAGGGGTGGAGCTGCCCAGGTTTTTCTGGCCTATACCTGCCACCCTGTCCCTACTCTGGAATCTGCCGCCAGGGCCTGCTCCTCCCCTCCTCCCCGGGGGGTGAGAGGTGGACTGCCCCTTGGATCCTTTCCCTTGACTCCAGCTGAGGTGACCCTGGGAGGTGAGTACAGGCTCTGGCCCTAGTCCAGGGGCCTCTGGGTGAGTGTTCTTGGGCGAGATGTGGGGGAGGGCATGGCGCCGAGCCTAGGAGACCCAACCCAGAGGGCAGGCAGCCAGTGAACCTTGCTGGCTTTGCCTCCTGCTGGGTAGGGGTGGGGAGGGTTGGGAATTGTACCCTAGCGGCCTAAGCCCTGTGTGCAGGACCGTCACCCAGTGCAGCCCATGCCACTTCCTTCCCTTTCCCCTCTTCACTGGTTATCCTGTTAGGGGCCATTCTTTGCCATTTAGACTGGGACAGGAGGGAATTTAGTGGCAAAGGCTAGAAGCCTGAGCCCCAGACCGGGCCCCTGCCAAGCTTTAGGGACAGAGCTTAGGCTTCCAAGTCAGACAGGCTGTGGGTCAAACCTGGGGGACCTTGGAGTGATGGCCCATCTCTCGGAGCCATAGTGCCATCTGAGCAATGGGTACTCTGTCCCTTTGTCACCCGCGCTGTAAGTATAAAGGCACCAGAGGTCGATATTAATATCAGGCTCCGTAGGGGGTTGGAATAAGTAGACACCATTCTATTGACATTCAACTTTATTTTGGGAGGCCTAGCTCTGGCTTAGGGCCAAGGAGGCCACCAGTCCCGCCCTCTAGGACTTGACTGTTAGAGCTGCCCCATACGGTAGCCACCAGCCACGTGAGACTACTGAGCACTTGGAATGTGGCTGGTGTCACCGAGGAACTGAATTTGTAATCTTATTTAATTTTAGTTAATTTAAAAATTAAAAAGAATATTCCAGTTATTGGAAAACTTCTGTGTATGTTTGTGAACTTAGATTTGTGCACTTTTTCAATTGTCAAGGCTAAGACACTGTAAATATCTGATGAAAATTTAGTGTGAGAATCGAGATGTGCTGTAAGCGTAAGGTGTACACTGGATTTAGAAGACTTAGTATGAAAAAAAAGATTGTAAAATATTTCAGTAATACTTTTGGATTTTTTCTTTTTTAGTGGGGGTGGGTCTCAAGGCTTGTGGGATCTTAGTTCCCCAACCAGGGACTGAACCTGGGCCCCCAGCAGTGGAAGCGCAGAGTCCTAACCACTGGACTGCCAGGGAATTCCCTCAATAATACTTTTGATATTGATGACATGTTAAATAAATATACTATTAGGGCTTCCTTGGTGGCGCAGTGGTTGAGAGTCCGCCTGCTGATGCAGGGGACGCGGGTTCGTGCCCCGGTCCGGGAGGATCCCACATGCCGCAGAGCCGCTGGGCCCGTGAGCCATGGCCGCTGAGCCTGCACGTCCGGAGCCTGTGCTCCGCAACGGGAGAGGCCACAACAGTGAGAGGCCCGCGTACCGCAAAAAAAAATAAATAAATAAATAAATAAATATACTATTAAAATTAATTTCACCCACTCCTTTGTACTCTTTTAAATGTGGCTACTGGAAACTTTTAAATTACATATTTGGCTTGTATTATGTTTTGATTGGACAGCTCTGTTCTACCCTAAGTTGAGTTGGACACATTTGAATAATCATACAAGAAAATAGAGCCTAGTTATTCGGGGAGGTTTGGGGGTGAAGGTGAAGTCGAGATATTCCCCCACTCACCACCCCCCATACCTGGGCCACACTCCATGGTGGAATGTTACGCAGAATAACTCCATAGCCTCAAAGATAAGATCAGGGCTTCTGGTGTCAGATGAAGAGCCCCTGTCTGGGTGGCCATGCTATGCACTTGCTCTGTGGGTGACCTTAGGCAAGTCACTTCACTTTGCTGAACCTTAGTCTATCATCTGTAAATCTAGGCTAAGGGTGGGATTTATCTCGTTGATGGAGGGGATCACCTGAGATATAATCCAAGTGCACGCTTAGCACAGTGCCTGCACATTTGCACGGCAGAGTCTTAGCTGTGGCAGTGGTGACTACTACTCCTGGTTGTGGGAGTTGTTGCTAGTGCTGTTGCATCTATCAGCTTGGATTCAGTTATTCCATTTGTCCAAATGGGACATGGGTCAGAGGGAAAGGAGGAGTTAAAAGAGATTGAGGGTGGGAGCTGGGGTGGGGATTGCTTGCCTTTAGGGGTAGCTCCTTGGATCTTCTGGTTCTGTAGGTGATCAGGCAAAGATGTGTGCCCATTTTATAGATGAGGAAGGTGAGGCCTGTTGAGGGGAAGTGACCTGGCTATATAGCCAGAACCTGAATGCAGGACTTCCCATGCCTATTGTAGGAATATTGGAGCCAGCGTTAAGAGTCCCCCTCTGGGGCTTGTGAGAGCAGGGCCTGACCAGGAGTCTGGCGCTTATGAGAAATGGTTATGAATAGTCTTCTATAACTGCAAGGGATCTCGACACCATTCAGTACAACTGTCTCATTCTTGAGTTGAAGAAACAGAGACCTGAGTGTGTGTATGTGTGTGTGTGACCTCCCTAGGATCAGCCAGCAAGTTGGTGGCCAAGCTGGAACTGTTTCTGTTTGTTTAGATCCAGCCCTCAGCTCGGCCCTGGCGGGACGGATGGCCCTGCTTGTCAGCCCCTCCTCTCCTGCCCAGTCCCCAGTGAGCGCTGAGAAAGAGGCTTTTGTTTCACCCGCTCCTTCTGGTTTCCTCTCAAGGTAGCTTCACCACCACCCTCACTCCATCTGCCCAGATTTGCATTTGTCCCTGTTCCAGGTTTAAAGGGCCCAGAAATCTGAAGCTTCTCCACACACATCTACTTTCTGGATAGCCGTAGGGGAGACCAGGGGATTTTTCATCAAGAAGGCCTAGGTTCAAATCCCTCTTCTACCATGAATTCCCTCTGTGGCTCTGGTCAAGTCACTTGTAATTTTTTCGTCTCAACATCTTCATCTAAAAAAGAGGAACCCAGGGGCTTCCCGGGTGGTGCAGTGGTTAAGAATCCACCTGCCAATGCAGGGGACACAGGTTTGAGCCCTGGACCGGGAAGATCCCACATGCTGCGGAGCAACTAAGCCTGTGCACTACAACTACTGAGCCTGCGCTCTAGAGCCCACGAGCCACAACTACTGAGGCTGCACGCCACAACTACGGAAGCCCGTGTGCCTAGAGCCCGTGCTCCGCAACAAGATAAGCCACCGCAATGAGAAGCCCACGCACCGCAACGAAGAGTAGCCCCCGCTCGCTGCAACTGGAGAAAAGCCTGCACACAGCAACAAAGACCCAACACAGCCAAAAATAAAATAAATAAAATTTTAAAATAAATAAATAATAAAAAAAGAGGAACCCAAATGGTTAGCATATAACCTGGCAGTTAAGACCCTGAGCTCTGGGTCTCACCCCTGTGCTGATTCTCTAATGATCTTCAGTGAGTCATTTCAACTCCTTGGGTCCCAGTGTCCACATCCGTAAATGGCGACTCCTCCTGGATTGTTGTGATAAGGAACTGTGCTGAGTTCTCCACATGTAGTGTCTCATTTAATCCTCCCGTTAGCCCTGGAAGCAGACACTATGACTCCTTTCCAAATGAGGAAACCGAGGCTCAGAGAAGTGAGGTGACTTGCCCCAGGCCACTTTGCTAGAAAGAGGTGGGGGCAGAATTCAAACCGGTCTGCATGGCTGCAGAGCCCCAGCTTAAACCACTGTCCTGCACTGCCTCCCAGGTCCCTCGGTACCTGGCCCCCAGGGTGAGCCTGGGCTCTGGGAA